ATGATTTACTTTCTATTTATTACTGTTACATAGAAAAGTTATTATTGCAAATTTACCTTGCACACTGGGAATATGCTTGAGTTATTTTATTAATTCTATCAAATTTTTGTAGTATTGTATGGCTGAATTAAGACCACTCTGAGCTTAACCTTAATGACTGCTAAATTGCACTTTGCTCTTAAAGAGGATGATGGAAATTAGACTACAATAGTAAAATTTTAGAAAGTTGCTCTTGAAACCAGAATTTTTAACTTTATTTTAGAAGAGGTTGATTATAATAACATTTAATAACTACATATAGATACCTTGTAAAGCAGATATATAAATGCCAGCACTTATAGGGAAGAGAGGTTTGATTTTTTCGGGACACCAGAAGACTTCTGTACTTCAAGATCCCCTGAGGCACCTGACATGCTCTCTCCTGGACCACTGAGCACTTCTCAACTCAACCCTTCTCAGCCCCTGTTGTTAGCATATCCCAAAAACCTTCTACTGGGGAGGGAGGCTCTTCCTCAAAAGTCACCCAGGATGTCTCAGGTCAATATAAACACCTGAAACCCAAGTGTCTTCCATGGGGCAGCGTGACACAGGCACAGACCTCTGCAGAGTTGGCTTTGGCTTCATCCACATAATTCCCACACTCTACTGTAGAATGGAAGACTGGTTGTGATGAGCATCCTATCATCCCCTTCAGGACCACAGGGGGAATAGATACAAAGACCAAAGAGTGCACCGACTTCTATAATGGAAGAAGGAATCCCAGATGGTGCTTTTTCAACCTGTTTGAATGTCCCACATTCTAATCATAAAAGATAATGTTCAAGCCAGTCTAAGACCCACAAGTTACTTATAATAGAATTTTGCTGTTTGTTTTAAAGAAAACTTTTCTGTTCTAATTCATGGAAATTTGATAATTTATTGAGAAGGTAATGATGAGTGTAAAATGAGACTTACTGTTTGCACTAACTTCTTTGGGGTGTTTATTTAGGGGTTTTATAGCCTTCAGGAGATTAGAGCAAATATTAGTTCTTGCTACATGATGGGAGCCGACAAGTGATGACTAGCGCCGCAATGGGAACAAAATGAGCCTGAAAGGTTCAGGCTCATATAACACAACTGATCTTTCTGCACCATAGAATCTTGTTCTTTGGACTTACACAACTGTCCTGTTTATTTAAATGCATTTATCATTACTGTGTAAGGGCTTTCCCTTGTGTATGTTTTTCCTGCATTTAAAAAAATCATTTAAGGACTTGATGGGACACTATATAACACGTGAGAATGTGTTTGTCTCTAAACAGTCATAATAGACTCATCACAATTTTATTTATTTATTTTTTAATTAATTAATTAATTAATTTATTTATTTATTTTGAGACAGGGTTTCTCTGTGTAGTTTTGGTGACTGTCCTGGATCTTGCTCTGTAGACCAGGCTGGCCTCTAACTCACAGAGATATGCCTGGCTCTGCCTCCCGAATGCTGGGATTAAAAGCGTGTGTCACCACCTCCCGGCTTATCACGATTTTAAATGTAATGATATTCAGGATATGGACCAGCCATATGCAATATGTACAAGGGGGCACAGTGTTAATTTCTGGGTTGACTTGAAATGATGGATAACCTGTGGTTTTTTCAAGTTAGGATGAAGCTGCCATCGCAGACACACAATGATCGTGATCAGTTAGGCCAAAAGTATCTTTTGCAGCAGTGTCTACCCAAATAAAGCTTAGCATGCCAAGCACACGACATATCTCAGGGACTGGTGAAATACTTTTTGTTTTGCATCTACTTAGTGACTGATTGGTGGGTTCTATTTTCTTCATTGTAACTTTTGTCTAATTTCTTATTATGAAAATTTCTAGCACTTACCTTCAGAGCATTACTGAATCCATCACACTCAAATTATCTTAAGAGAATTAGGGATGGAGTATTTTGTTTCTTGACTTAGGCCTGGTTTGATGTAATATTTACCCCTCTTGTAGTTTAATTAATTGTCTAAATTAAAAACCATTTCCCACTGGCCTTCTGTATCAATGGATTCTACATCCTTGGATCTAACATATTTTTTTAATTCTATTTGTACTGAAAATTCCCATATTTTCTTCTTATTATAGTCTAAACAATATAGCACAACAATTTTCACAGCATTTACCTTAGGTATTACTAAATATGATTAAGATACAACTTAAAGTATAGATAGGCTATTCCTGGGCTACATGCAAATACGGCATCACTTTCTTGAAGCAACCTGCAGAGCTTCAAATTATGGCATTCAGAGTATTCTGGGAAGCAGTCTTCCATGGATATCAAGGACTGACGGGAATGGAGAGAACTGATTATGTGAAGGGGAGATCTTATGTTGCACCTGCATCACTATCAAGACTGGAAGAAATTTGTTTTTCAAGTATTGTAACAGTTAAAGAATATATTTAACTCAATGAAGCATGTTCCGTTATTTTATTAATTCCTGTAGGTCAAACCTAGGGCATTGGCACATGCTAATTCATTATGATTCTTATAGATAAAATGAAATACTTATAGTTAATAGTGAAGATAAAATTTAAAAGTTATCATTCCTATTGTAAATACAAGGAATGAGTTAAGGTGGCATTTTAAAATATACTTATGCATGGCATATAAAAAATTCTATGACTGAAAAACATGGACGACAATATAGAAAAATGTCCAAACTTTTGATCAAGATCATTGTGCTAGAATTCAAATACTGATTCCAACTGACTGTGAGGATATGACTGTGACACCTGACCTTTCTTTGTTCAATTATCTTCCTATACCTGTGGGATAGTAATTCCTAAGCCAAAAAGTCCTTATGTCCCCCAAGTTCACCATCAGGCAAGCACTAGACTCAGAACAGCTACACAATCTTGACATGTTTTATGAATGAAACAATGCAGACTTGAAGCCATGGAAGGAGAAGGTTCGTGAAGCTGACTTTTAGGTATTTCTTTTCAATGGAGTCATGCCCATGCCCAGAGCTTTCAACAAAACATGTAACCCAGATGAATTGTGGAAAACCAGGAGAATCTATCTGGTCTCTCAGCTCCAGAATCCTAGCTGAGATTAGTGATATGAGTCTACAATGTGAATGACCCCAGCTGCCTAGACGCCAGTGTCCCTTTCCCTTAAACATTAGGTATTCATTCTATGCCATGCTTTGTAATACACTTCCTTGGTCACCTGGAGCAAAAAAGACCAAGGCATTGCATGTACCAAACACTCTTTTAAAAATTAATTTAAAAGTTTCATATGCATGTCCTATATTGTCATCATCCCCACCCTGTGTCCAACTTCTCTCCAACTCCCCGACTCCTTCTCAAATTCATTACTTCTGTTCATCCCTGGGGAAAGACTGATACTCCCTCTCCCAGTACCCATTAATTACCTGTAGCTCTTCCTCAAGGAGCGGGGTGCTGTGAGATTGTCCTCATCCGTATTGGTGCGTCAACTGGTGTTGTCTTTATTCAGGTCTTGTGTAAATAACCATATTGCTGAGTTTTCACACATGTAGTTCCCTGTCATATATAGATGATATATCTCTCAGCAAATGTCCTGATCCCTTGGCCCTTACAATTTTTCTGGCCCCTCTTCCACAGTGTTTCTTGCTTCACATGTAGAATGCCTGCAGTAGATGTGTTACTCGGGGCTGGGCACCCGACTATCAGTCTCTGCATTTTAACCAGATGTGGCTTCTGTAATGGTTTCCATCTACTGCAAAAAGAAGCTTCTTTGATGAGGGGTGAGAGCTCCATCCACCTGTGGTTCTAAGAAAGAGTATTTACAACACAGTTAAAAATTATACTGACTCAGGAAATGGCAGTAGTGGATTCTTCTGTAGTCCCCATGGACTCAGAGCCATGAGTGTTTGTCTAGGTTTATAGTGCAAAGCATAAAGTCCCTCACACTGAGTGCACCTAATGTCCAATTAGACAATTGTGGATTACACCCAAGATACAAGTGCCAGCTTACACCTGAGTGTATCTTGTTATGCTGCTCATTGTCGTGGTTCTTGGTGTCATAGCTGGGTAGGATTATTGATGTTTTACTCCCTTGACATCTATATAGGACCTTCTGGTACTGTGAAAGCTAGTCCTTAGGAAGAGGCTTTTGAGTTGCATCTAGCTAGGTTTCTTCAAGTCCTGTGTCCAAAGTGTATGGTGTCTTCAACAATAGAGATCCACTTTCAAGTTCTGGGAAGCAACCAAGTGTGACAGTCATGCCTCTATACACATACACTTGCACAAACACATGGGCACATTACATAATTCCATGTAAACACAAAACAGTGCTATCCCTATGGCTTTTGTTTATAGAACCTGGAATAACTACAGAAACCAGAAAATTTAAAAGGTGCTACAGTGTGAGGGGAGAAGCTCTAGAGAGGGGAATAGGAAGACACGGATGCTATGGATGGGGGAAAGGGAAAATGGGTAGAGGGCTTTAAGAGTAAGGAGGACGGCAATACTAGAAGAGGAGAGATGATGGATAAATGACTCCATGGTCTGAAAAACTAAACACTCTTAACAGACTGTTTCAAGAGTTCAGAGGTCATGCCCCAGCAGCCAACTAAAGGCTAATCCTGAGACAGGCTTTCTTGGAATGTGTTGGGTTTGGGTAATACAGACCTATTGAGCTGACCTCATGTTGGCCCTTGGTTATAAGGAATAAATAAGTTAACCTATGTAACTTAGAGCAATGTCTGGCGAAGAAGAGAGCCAGGCATGTATGAATAGGAAACAAGGGGCAATGGCAATTCTTCTAGTGAACTTTCTGAGCTGCAAGGGGCGTGTTAACCTGGACTAGAAGTAAACAATGTTCTATGGACAGTGTGATGGTAAGTCTGCCATATTTGTAATGCTGTTTGTTGGATGCATATTAAATGATAGTATGTGACATTTTTATGGAGATTTTATTATGGTAAGTGTTTTTTGTGTATATGTAACACAATATTCTAAAACTTTATTCTTTTTGTACTTTATAGAGCCATAAAACCAGTGAAACAATAAGCAAACGTCCAAGCTGTTGAAGAACACAACATATATCAGGTACAGGAATCATTCTCCATATATTCGTTACGCTGATAACTATTGAAGCATATTGCTTCTTTATTAACAAACTATTTTATAGTTCTGCTATTTTGGTGACCTAGATAGGTGTGAGTGTATATTGAAAGGTAGTTGAGCATATTCTGAAGATAAATTAATTGCTTTCTTTATAGTAAATAATATTTTGGGGCTTCAGGTACACTGGATATAGACAGAAATGTGAAAATTAGCAAATTATCATTACCCATGAGGAAGCGACCTCTGAAAGGTTTTTACATGATGGAACAGAATAGCCATGTCCATTCTTGCCTTTACAGGACTTGAAATCCAGTGGGGGAAACTTGGCATAAGAAACATCCATATATGAGAAAAGTTTATGATGACAGTTATTAAGGAAAAATGCAGAGTTCACTATGGCAATACATTGAGAAAGAATGAAGAGTCTACTGAATTAGCATAAACAGTATAGATTTTTCTCTGGTCTTTTAAATTAAGACTCGAAGTGTGAGAATGAAGATATGCAGGCAGATTGAGGAACACTAAATAAAAATAAAAGGAAGAAGAGGATGAGTACGAGGAAGAGAAGGAAAAAAAGGAAGAGAGGGAGAAGAAAAAAGGAAGGAGCCCCTTCCTCCCCAGGGAAGGAAAAAGACTAAGAAAGAAGATAGAAAAAATGGGGTCACACAGGTAGAGACAGACAGGAGATAAGTCTGCGATGAAGATGGAAACTAGTCTGGCATGGCAGGGCCTTAATATCTATCCTGAGGTGTCTTTGGACCAGTTTGCCTTGGTCGATTTTACCCTGTGGTTTTTCTGTTGATGTCCTGCCGACAGGTGGTTTCAAACCTACCCCTTCCCCTAGTCTTCACATTTCGTCTCCAGGGGAAGCAGAGTGAAAATGGGTCACTGCTGTGTAGAGAAGTGGTCAATGTGTTCATTCCTTTGTGTTACTTCCCTGTGATATTCTGTATAGCATGGTTTGAAGTAAAGAAAGTTTGGAAATGTCTGGACTGAAATCTGCAGGTGCTTGAAGCACAGATGAACAGTGCAGATTTTTAGACATTATGCAAAAAGCAGAATTAACGCACACACATGCATCTGCACACATATGTGTGCAGACATGTACATGGATATATAATTGTGTGAATTTATGTGCTTTGTATTTATCTTAATATTTCCCAAAGCTATTCATTGGATTGTAGTGTGAGCAGCTCCAGAAGACTGTCTTGTGACCTGTTTTATGATATTCCTTTACACCTGGGTCTAGGCTCCCTTTAGGTAATGAGGCCCATTTCATATTTATGCATATTAAACTAGTTCAGGTAGATTTCTAGGATCCAGATAATTCAAGCCAGGGTATCTGATTGCCACAGTGGTTTAGCTTCATCGCACACAAGATTCTTCTTGACCTAGATTATATGGCTAGTTGCTTCAAGTACTCAATGTATTTGAAAGTGAAGACGGCCTGAGGTGGCAACAAGGATCTCTGAATAAGAGCTTAATACATAATTTTTTAGCATCAGCATTAGCAATGTTAATTTTTAAAAGTCAAAGCAACACAGGAAAACCACAAAAATACTGTTTGCATCTTGACTAATCTGACTCATTCCTTTCCACCAAAAATGCTTATTGCTGATTTTTAAAATTCTCGTATTTTAAGTCCACCCCACCCCACCCCACAGATCAAGCAACCCTCTTGCATCAGGGCCAAAGAGAAGGGCTGGTTCCTGGTTCAGTATGCTAAAGAATGCTTGAGTAAGCCGGGATTTCCTACCTGAGTTGATGAAGTCCCAGGGATTCTGAGATCTAGAGTTCATTTACACTCTATGAAGAGGAATTTAGCACTTGTGGAAGAAAGGTCATGGACTTTTATAGATGAATTCAACATCTTTCAATTAAATTGATTATTATTTCAAAAGAAGAAGAAAATCACAAATAATTCCCAAAGCTATGTTTCATCCTCAGAAAGACAAGATGCAGCTGCCTTTTAATTATCCCTCCTGTCATTTGCTTTCTACCAGAGATGCATTTCAAATGTGGAATCTAATTAGAAATCTTAATTGAAAATAGTTTTTTCAACAAAGAAAAGAAAGCAACATGATTGACATGGAAGCACAAAAATGGTGAGAAAACAGAACTAGTGATAGTCCAGCCATACCGAGCAAGCACCAGTCTGGGCCTGTGGTGGCCTCCGGGAAGCAGCAATCTGGATGCAGTCTGAACTACACTGAGGAGTTTTCTCAAGCAATTCAATTGTCTCATTCTCCATAGCTTATGATTTCCAAAGCTTTCGTTGTTTTGGTCAGGAAATACAGTAGTCTTAAATTCTGAAGCCTGGGTTCATTGCCAGCTCCCACACTTTCTGTGCTGTGCTGGACTCATTGGTAACTATGCTCTAAAGTTTTTATGCATCTCCATCATTAGATTTTCTAATCTCATTTTTTCAGCACGATTTCTATTTTGTCTCGTGTCTCCACTTACATATTGTCTGATGCTTAGCAGCCAACCTGGACATCCAGCTGTAAGCACTGGAAAGAAGAGGAACAGTGGGAAGTAGAACAAGAAAGGATGCTAGCTTTGAGACCACATACCACAATATCTAACACCGAGTGTCGCCAAGGAAAACATGGAGACTTGTGTTTATTGATTCTGTCCAACAGAGGCAAAGACTCAAAGGCAGATTTATTGATCTTTTCATTCAGACTGATTCTTGCAGATGTTATAGATCCTTCTATGCAGGATGTAAGCTCTACTTATAGTCCAGGCAGCATGTTGCCGAATTACACAGGACACTTTGAATGTCATTAGGTGTGACAGATGCTCAGTTAGTGTCTGGTTCGTTGAGTGACACTGTAAGCTCTCAGTGTCAGGGAAGAAATAACCCCACTTGTACTATCTTTTGGATTACAAACCGTGCCTAACGTACAGTGAGAATGAATCACAGCCTCCTGTGAATGACTCTGTTAGATGACATCACATCTATTTCCTGCTTCCCTCTTACTGGTCACTTCGCTAACATCCATGCACAGTCCACATCCTTAGCCTCTGGTCTTTGTTTTCATTCCAGATACCCCATTCCTACGGCCTTCCTTCTTCTTTCTCTCTTCCTGTCACTCTTTCCCTCTTCTTCCTTTTCTCTGTCTCCAAGCCTTTTAAATTCCATCAGACTCCATATCCATGTCTCAGTGCTGGGTGGCCCTTGAGATCGTCATTTCACTACTTCATTTTTGCTTGGTTTTCAGAAAGTATGTTCTATGGGACATCTCTAGAATCTGAGCTCAGCACAGAGCCCATGACAACCAAGTCACAGGCATGCCCCTGCCTCTTTCTTTCCTCTCTCTGCTGCATCCCTTTGCCCTTTCCCACCATGAGAATGGACCTCTAGAAAACTTGTGACTTGCTTCCATCCCAACTTCTGTGCTGCTGGAGGGATGATTTCAGGCTGTGAGCATCAAGAGGAAAGTCCTATCAGTTGGCGGTGTCAGGTGAATTGGTCTTCAGTCCTCCCTCCATATTCCTCAGAGCCAGGAGCCAGGCCCTGCCACCCAGTGGGACTTTAGTCCTCTGAAAAGTCCCTGCATCCTTTTCTTTATGTCCTTCCTTGCTTTATGAGTCGCGTGCACATGATGCTGAGAACTAAGTCTGTGCAAATGCTTCTCTACTGCCCCGCTTCTTGTCCCCTCAATACAAAGGGTCATAGAACAGTCAGATGAAATAAACGCATCTCGCTTTAGTGGTCCTTCAGCATCTGTGGGTGGCATGCATTCATTTGTTCCTGGTCACTGGGAAGGTCTTTCGTTGTAGTAGTCCATCCTGCTTCAAAAAAAATGATACACTGAAAACTTAGTGCGTGTTAATATATCTACTTGTTGCCATAGTATAATAAATGGGAATTACCATCTTCCCACTATGCAAAAACATAACCCAGGAGTAGTATGTGAAATGAATTGTCCAAGAAGCCAGAGTAAACAGAAGAGGCTTGGCAAGCTGGGCTGGTAGCTGGCTTCTTATGCACTTGCTGTTTCTCTCAGTGAATGATCACAATTAGAGGTGCTATGTGAGAGGAACTTTAATACACACATCAGACTAATACAGCATAAGAGAATATAAAGAGGCCCCAGAATAGCAACAAAAAGTAGTCAAACAAAGGTGAGTTTATAAGCGCAATAAAGGGATAGACTCTAGCGAGGAAATGCTCACAGTACCTCTGAAGGAGAAAGGAGTCAGGGGGTGAGGAAATGCTCACAGTACCTCTCAAGGAGAAAGGAGTCAGGGTCTCTACATGACAATGACAAAAGCATTGGGGTGCTGAGCCAGGCATGGTGTGCAGAGAGGGGTGCAGAGAGAGGGGTGAGGAGAGAGGGGTGCGGAGAGAGGGGTGCAGAGAGAGGGGCGTAGGCACAGCTGCCATGCCACTGATGCATTGAAAACTCAGTGCTCTGGAAGACTGAAAGGAGACTCCTGTTTGTACTGTGCACTTCATGTGTGCTAAGTGCTGATCAAATGCACAACACACAAGTAATAGATGTGATACTTCTTCTCCTCTCTTCTCCTTATGCTAAAACCAAAGAAGTCGGAAAACTGAACTTCTACAAGCTATCAGTGTGGTGATTCCCCTGCAGACTTTTCAGCAGGCATGGGAAAAAACAATCCACAAAGAGACAGAATGAAACTCAGCTCAGCCTGATTTTATTATAACTGGTGTTGGACCAGGACTTCTAGAGTCCAGCCCAGATCATTTTACTTTAGTCGTATTTAAGCACAGCACAATTTTTGAAGAAAATATTCAGATAACAATTAACTAAGCTCCAAGTGCACGACAATTTAAGACATGTTTACATCGAGATTCCTTACAAAGTACATCTGTCTTCTTTCACAAGAATGGGTACTGTTGACTCAGATAATGCCCAAGATTTGGGGTCTAGGGAGCTTGAATGAGGTAAACACCTGTGGGTGTCAGGATTGGCCTGGCCCTAAGACAACACAGAAGTCACTTAGGC